GCTGAAACGGATGAACAATTCCGAATTGGAGTAAACCTTCCAGCTGAAGAGCTGTCACTCGATGAACCAACGAATATCTGTCCACATGATGCGTATCCCATAAGTCGAGGATGGGTGATTGTGTATTGTTAGTGCGGACGTACTATACTGGTGATTGACCGCTGGTAGTCGAACGGCTAAAAAATCTAACGGCTAGGATGTCCGGGGTTCTATACACCGTAGAGTCTTGTAAGACGAGCACAGTTGATGATTCTTAGTGAGGTGAAGTATCTGTTCAGTGCTTCTCGGCCGTCCAGAATAGACTGGGTCTACTTCGTGCATAAAAGTCCCACTGAAATTCCTCTCGTAAACTTGTGTATCTAGACTTCCATTGAAGAATGTGTCCAGCAACAGAAGCTGCGTTGGTTGGGACATGTGTTACCAATGCCGAACCATCGTTTGCCGAAGAGGGTGCTGTTTTCCATGCCCAACTCAGAGTGGCGTAAACCGAGAGGTGGCCAACCCTTGACTTGGCAGAAGAGCATGAAGGGGACCACGGAACGCTTGGTTGCTGTCGGTGCTACTCGCCCTTCAGGAAGGGGACCGCGTGATTCTCACTGCGGCTGCTTGAAGACGCTGCAGGCTAAGGCTGCCAACCGATGTCACTGGCGATGAAGTTGTCACTTTCTATCCAGATTGCCTGAGTGAATGTCTGGAGGTGTAGGCACCTCGGAATGATTGTGGTAAGCTAGCACTAAGTCCCTCCCCCGTCCACCTTTACTCTTTTCTTTACAATAAAGCTTTCAAATAAGTCATGGTTGTACGGCAGTGAAGCATCGGTGTTGAACACTGATGTCATGCTGTCGATGGTGATGATGATGATAAAACATAACGATCTGTGTTTAATGGGAGACCAAACTAAGTCTTTCTGATTCTTCCCATAGGAATGTTGAATACCCTCTGAAGACCGACGACTGGTGTTGCCCTTCTTGGGGGCAATCAGGTTGGCTCGCTTCAAGATTTTCAGTCAACCGTATGTTCTAACTGAACACAAATATTCCCGTTTACACATGAGATTGGTCATAATGGGAAACCCAACTGAATCCATCTAAACTTCTTGTTTGTTATGTCTAGAGAATGTATCACGACTCTTGAATCCGTACAACTGAAATATGAAGCGGCCTGGTACAGTACGTCCGAGCAAAGGACAAAATCCTCACCGATACACCCCACTTAAGTTCGCTTATCTAGATTTCAGAAAACGATGGAAATCCTTTGAGACAGCGACGAGAATCAGGCGTTTTTTTTAATCCACTCAATAAAATCTATCTAACTTACTTGGCTGCCTAAGACCGTTTCCCTTTCCATGGATACTTTGTGAGTTCTCGCGGCGCAGCGGAACGTGTATGAACCATTTGCTAATTGTACTAATATAATCCACTTAATCTTCTATATTATCCTGCAAGAATCGCCCACAGTTATATGCTTATATCCTAAATAGATTTCTTCATCGGCCTGATTTATCGTTAGTGGCATCGTGCTGTTAACGAAATCAGCAAATTTCTTAGCTCATGAATGATCCCAAATTTTATTTTTATACCTACGGAAACAGTTTCAAATAAGTTTTCACATTTTAAGCCACTTCCGCTCCGGTAAAAGCAGGTGTACTTTCTTAGTCTGCTCAAACGATGCCAAGGCAGTATTTTGCCGAAATTGCAAAGGAAAATCTCTTAACTAATCGAAATTTCACCGAACTTCACCGAAAGTGCACTTATACACACTAGCGTAGACATAAAGCATTCCATTACACCATAACTAGTAAACCACTTTCTATGAAAGAACCACAGACAGCGTGTCATAAATTCACACAATCTTGGGGCTTAAACGGATTCTAATATCGTTTCAGAAGAGCGTGGTAAACAGTCGGTAGTTTTTATTTGGGCAACGTTTCGCTTTTGACACAAAAGCTTCATCAGGCCAAGTGAACAGGTCACCAAATCGGCCAGGTTATAAGACAGACGGGAAACCAGTCAGTAAGTCCTCTTCAAACTAGATCAGTGTTGAGTGCCAATTAACGGCTCCTGTCGGCTAGTGTGGGTTGGAGGGATTCCAACACTCAGCACTGATCTAGTTTGAAGTGGACTTACTGATTGGTTCCGCGTCTGTCTTATAACCTGGCCAATTTGGTGACCAAATTAGTTTGCAGATGAGTGTATATTCGCTAATGTCGTGCAATTTGGTTTCAAGTAGAACATAAAGTTGACGGAAACCCGGGGACTGCGCTTACCTGATGAGCCCCAAGAAGGGCGAAACCGGTCGTGGGCTGTCGACGGATTTTCAGCAACCTTATGAGTGGTACATTACAAATTTGGTGACCAGTTCACTTGGCCTGATGAAGCTTTTGTGTCAAAAGCGAAACGTTGCCCAAATAAAAACTACCGACTGTTTACCAAGCTCTTATGAAACGATGACTTAATCGGTTCCAAACTTTCTCCAACGGATTCTAATATCCTTTCTCTCAGTGAGACGCTGCCAGGTATGAATGTGTTCATACATTTTACGACAACGTAGTTCGCCTCGCTCGCCTTATCACCATGTTTTGTAAAGCCGTTCTTTCAAACCTATCATTATCATTGTTTTGCGCAATGGACTAGACAAATGTACCCACATCCATACTACTGTAGTCAAGATTGGTGAACGTTTGAGATGCCGATATCTTATCTGTAAAGGATGTTTGCACAGGAGAATTGTAAGAAGCGAAACACTCAAATGGGAACCCTAGTATTAATCGCACTGCTGATGAAGCATTCATGACCCAATCGTTGTGACTACTACACCAAAACCACATCCCGCAATACCTGCTTCCTTGAAGGAACCCATTCGAACCAGGATGTATGCCGAGAGGTTTACTGTTCTGTACGTTTCTGCGCTCCTTGTCCGGAGGAGTGTGCTCAACTGCAGAAAAAAGTAAATTAGTTCCAAAACGTGAGCATATTGCATGGGTCGATAGTAAACTTGAATAGGCATAATCTATCGTTTAGGAAGCATTTCGATCTGTGCAACTGGTATAATTCATCTTGGCGAGTGTCTGATAATTGGATAAGAACTGTGGAATATGCATGGCAGTGTAAACATTGCAACGTTTGAACGACTCGCATTGCTGTATATCAGGTTGGTAGTCGAAAGAACAACCTTTGGAAAAAGGAGTTCGGCAGTGCTTTCCTGTTCTCATAGAACGTAAAACTGCATTGGCATAGAACTCGTTTTCCACCTTACTTAATTTGGTTCGTATTTCAGTGATCTTCGGGATGAAACACCCAGTCTAGAGAATCATACGTTGGCATGTGACCCATAAAAACGTATTTCTTCAGTTATGATATACCGGAAACGGAACACAAAAAACCACCACTAAGACTGCTTCCCAATTTTTGCTCCTAATCTTAACCACTTATCTGTTTGGTCTGTTTTTTTTGTAATAATATATACAAAACCAATTTGCTAAATCGCTCGAATTTTTGTGAGATTGGGTAAGTAGGGACAACAAAAGCAGTTTCGTACAGAGCCATCATACTACAATGTGTTATCGTTTTCGAAAAAGTTTGGTGACAATTGGTAGATTTATTACTGGGCAGCGTTTCACTTTTGACACAAGAGCTTCGTCAGATCAAGTGACTAGGTTCCGAGGTTGGTCGAGGTTTAAGGCGGAAGGAGAACCAATCAGCTAAGTCAAGCTAAATCTCTTTTGGGTGTTGGCCGAGGGATTTCAGTGTGTTAGAGTGGTTGAACAAGTGTTGGGTCGCTGGGGAAACCTACATGTGTTTGGGTCCAGCCTAGAGTCTAGTTCTTCTGGTTCGGTTCATTTGATGGTTCCTCTTGAACTTCGTTTGAACCTTGCGTCAGGCTGTGTGGGTGAGCTAGTGCTAAGATAGTTGTGCATGTTTGCGTTTTCACATTTCTCCATTTGTCAACTGCCCCTTAGACGGATCATCCCCTTTTCATTCACTTACAGTGGCTGAGGGTAAATTCGGTATCGGAAAACGGGTTAAGGACACATGGAATTTCGAAAAACATCGCCTGAGACGATACCTTGTGCATTATGAGAGTCAAGATGAACTTGATGCTACATCTTAGTAGAAGTTGGCTGTCACATCCGCCCTAATTTCCGTGTACAAGCTTAAGTTTCAAACTAAACTACCATAGTTGCGCGAGTTAATACGTGTGCACAAGAAACCCTTTACAGCCCTACAGTGGAAGACAAACATTAATATAAACTCGTGTGTACAGGCCCCACAGCAGCGCACACGGTGCAACACAATGCCAACCAGCTCATGTGCCTGAATGCCTAAATGGGATTCCGGAACAATCCGGAGAAATAACCAAACCACGTGTTTGAAATAGTATTGCGAACATTGTCTGAGAAATGTTTGGTATGGGAAACTAAAAAAGCCTTTAGTTTAGTCTTTGAGAACAAGCGAACCAAGGTGTAAAACAACTACGAATTCTATCCCAAGGGTACGTCACCATGGTGGCGAGTTACCAAGGCAGCGAATCAACACGCTAAGGAAGTGACCAAAAGCGTGTTAACCACATGCTCACCATGAACAGAGGCCTCAACATAAGAAATTTTAGCCACCGTCTCTGTAAAGTTCTTTTGAGATTTTACAGTCGATGGGACACTTGTGTATGTTTTTTCGGTCATGATGACTTGCATATTGGATATTCAAGTTCTCCTTGGTGTCTACAAACAACAATAGTTCTGGTGTGGGGTAGTAACTTTTGTCACCTGGCTTCAGAACCAATGTGGGTTTTTTAAATTTAGTTTTAGCATGTGCATAGTGGGAAAAATATTCTTATGCACTGCATACACGTCGCTTCATGTTTTCAAGCAAATGTAAATTGAGATGAACTATGTGATCAGCTGGATTATTTCAGATGTTCTCAGCAATTTCATATTACATTAAAAATAAGTACATCGACTTCCAACGGAAAAAGCTAATTGTACACCTCTTTCTTCACTTTAGCAAGTGGAATGCTGCACCTCAACAAACGCTTATTGAAGACACAACAGAAGAGGTGGAGACCGACGCTCACTCAGTCAGCATGAACGGAAATCTTGAAGGGACATGGGAAACGAGTTCAAAGCAACCGTCTTTCGAGGCAACCGATTCAATGGAACCGAATTCGGTGACTGTTGGTACCCCAGGGAGACAACATCCCAACACTTTGGGATGTAAAGAAGTGGAAACGCCTCTTAAGGGCACGAATCATTTCAGAAGTGCCAAACAGATAAAAATGCGGCGCAAGTTTGGTCGAAGATCATACAGTTCCATATCTTCGTCAAAGAAACCTTGTTCTGAAGATACGACCCGCAATGGAGATCAAGAACATAATCTTGACACAACGCCAAGACCTATTCATCAAGATTCGAAGTGTGCACTGATCTTTGAACCTGGAAATGAGGGATCGGATGAAGAGGAAGAGAGTGAGTAATCGGGCATTTTTTGGAACACGTTTAAGACGTGACAGATTCCATAGACTGAACGCTATTTGCTGCAGAAACGAAAAAGACATTTAGCACTCTACGTATGAGGAAAAGGACTAATATTTACAAGACCAATTTATTCGTGCAAATTACGTGATTACACGTCTTTTATCTTCTCCGCAATGCACGATTTGTTTATCTTTAACATTTTTATCCACTTACATCATCTTCATGACCGATAACAACTCCTTTCCACTCTTTTCCAGTTCAAAAGAGTCAGACACTCCGTCCTGAAGAAACTGAAGACTTTTCAATCAATCCGCAATATCTCGACATAATTGATCATGTAACAACGTTTGTGAGAGCAAGAAGCATGACCACACAAACAGTAAATCAGCTTGATCCCTTAACCGTGGATGCGGCCCTGGAACAGTTGAATCAACTGAGAACAGCAATACATTTGTCTGAAACTTCGCTTCGGCAACTGAAAGGAAACAGTGGCTTAGCTTTTTATGTTGATCTTCATGGACACTGCTCAAAACGTGGATGTTTTCTGTACGGTAACTGGCTGGAATCTGAAGAAGAAATGGTTAGTTGAAAGAACCCTTATATTTGGTAGATTAGTGCAAGTTATCTTCGGTGCTTTCACCAGCAAATGGGAGTTGGAAACCAGTCATAGTAAAAAGTGTGCACTTGTTTGAATCAGTGCGAGAGGCAGGTCCTACTTGAGAAGACGCACACAAAATGCTTCCGTGTCTGTTTAAGAATACTCACTTGTTATAGAAACATTTATTTACATAGAACCCTTCCAAAAATGAAACTGATCACATGTTTAGCAAAGTAATGAATTATGGCCGGGGAGGTATTGATCCCAAATGTTCAAAGTGCACGTCGATTGACAAGAACGGTCGCTCTTGAACGTGAAAATTTACTCTTACTTGTCCATTTAATTTGGTAAAATCTTTATCTACAACGTAAGGTTTTAAGTCAGCTGAGAAAATTTTCATCTAGTTGCACCGAACTGGCATACCAAACAAATTTTTATTCTTACAGTATTCCACTTGCTTGTTTTATACTTCGGGCAGGCCTCCAAATGATTAAAACTGAGCTTTCTCCCTCCAAGAACACACTGGTTCACTTGAATGCTCCAAGTTCAGGTCTTCGCGGACTGGTTAGTGGATGTACCGTAGAGATTGATATAGGGAGTTTGACAGAATGGGAAGTGTAGACATGGTTAAGGTTATTTAGGCAATGTACGCATGCTGCACTGATCTAGTGTTTGAGAGTTTTTAAATTCTGGTCACTGGTTTACTAGACAAATTTTCAGCAACCTTGCGAGTAGTTTCCTTTATGGAAGTGTACTGCGATATCTCGAATATCGTACCAAATGAAACATGAGGCAGCCTATGTGCGACACATTCAGTTGTTGAACATCATAACCGAGCGATTCAGTTGAGTCTCTCGTGAAAACCGAATCGATTTGCAAATGGGTGTATTTCTCAAAAATTCTCTTCTTTTTTTCAACAGGCCAAGTTTTGTTTTTAGTACGCTTTTGGGGCAGTAAGTAGTAATGACATTTTATGGCGCCAATTTTGAATAACAGATATCGACGTCAGTGAACGGTATAAACCGTATGGTCTGAGCTACGACTATTCTTCCCTATCATGCGTTTCTTTGTTTCATGTTGGAAGTGCACTTAAATCCACACCCGTGTTTGTCCGTTTTTTGTAGCGAAGGACCACTGCATCACTACTGAAGAGCTGAATATCTCTACTTTACCACTCTGGCAAACAGTAAGATAATCCCGACTTTAGGGCAAGGTCGTAACCTTTCAGATTCATGGTGGACCGACAGGTCAACCGAGATAAGCAGCATGGATGTGGTAGCAAGTGTAACGTTGCTCTGGAGAATAATATACAAAACGATTCGCTTGGTTACTTGAAGATAAATATTGAACGGAGCTTAACTTCAACACACAGAAAATACGTGGCAAAAGCGGCACTCGGTAGTCTCGCATTTGTTACTTCGGGCATGAAAATATGCTGTGAGACAGTAACACGTGGCCAACGTTGCCGAACCGCATCTATGGATCCGCGGTGCAGTTATCCAGTAGAGTACTTCATCCCGAGTATGACTTCGAGGTGGCGAGCAAATTCGGTCATGACGGAAAGGTAGTCACACTGTTGAAATGCGAATAGCCCGACATTTTTCAGTGTTCTGAAAGGCCACACAATCATATCAGAAGTGAGTAAACATTTAAGATAGGCTAATTACACAGAGGCATTATTGCATCAGGAACTCTTCTTTTTTCTGACCGTCTTGTCGTTGAAGCGAGGAAGCCACTCCTAAAACAGACTCTTTATCTTCTAGGCTTTCTTGATATTCCATTGTGTACGGTCGGCTCGGTTGTGCTCACAATAGTAAAAGAACTTGGTTTCTCATATTTACTAATAACCATGGGCAATGAAACTTCTTCGGTCAGCAGGAGTCTCACTTTTGATTCTTTTGTGGCAATGCAAGGTGGTTCATCCTGCGTGAAGTTTCTCACAGCCCTTCGGCAAAGAGCAAACTCACTTCTGTCAAACTTGGGTCTGACTACTTGCCCATTACCTTCAGAAATTCCTGTAATACGAGTGGAACAGCTGGGCATTTCGCTGCCAAGGGAATATGTAGTTCGCCGTAGGGTAATTGGTCCAGTGATTCCGTCCGATTTGCACAATCATCTGCTCCAAGCTCAGAAAATACTTTCTCTAACTTTATCGGCATATTCTCTGAATTTCCCCCTTAGGAACTTGTCCGCCCTTTATAGATGTTTTTGCCACCCGTGATGATTGTACTGAACACAGGCAACCCCTTATAAACTAAATAGCTGCTTCGTCTCAGTTCTGCTTGTTCATGGTTTTCAGGTCGTTCCGCTGCAGAGATGGGATGACACTTTGGTTCTTTTGGTTTGATTTGATCATCTTCTACAGTATCTCCCCTTTTTCCTGGGAAGTATTTATGTTTCGATTGCTTAGCGGATTTACAGTGCAGTTTGCTTCACCCAAATAACATGAATTTCGCGCCTATTCCATCCACCAATTATTGATTGGATAAATTGGCTTATCTCTACCTTTTGACAACAGTAGCCACTGAATTGTCACCCGTGACTTTCCATCGGCTAAGTCAACGACATAGCATGACGCCACAAGTATTTTTTAATACTTTTTTTTACTGTAGGTGGCTGTGGGCTTTGGGCATTCACATCATTCTTGTTTGAGTCGCTCTCCCCCTATCCCGTTACAGATATTCTCATGAGTGTGAGCCACAGGGGGGAAGTACTGAACCCAAGTGTGGGTCTTGTTAGAACAATTCGAAAGTACATTCTACACATCCCACAACCGTTTATAACTGATCAGAGATTATCCCACAGGTTGTAAACGCCAGTGGCGCAGCCTGACCGGAAGTCCGATTAGCCGAGTCAATCGATCGACAACCAAGACAGTTGCCGGGTAGTCGTTCGAGGCTTTGGACAAGCCAGCCACACCGCTCAAGTGTGCACAAGTCCGCCTTTGCAAATGTTATTATTCAGGTGTGTCCCACGTGTTTCGATCCATTCATGGTAACACGCTCGCATCACTCCCGGTGTTCAAGTCCCGAAGCAAACAAGGATGTGTACGTGATGAGCACTAACGAGCGCGCAACAGGCCTATAGTGCTTCCCCTCCTTGGTGTGGAATGATAAGAATAATTTAGCCAGGACGAGATGACTGCAGACGAGAATGATCTAAATTTAAGCAATTATTTGCAAATTTGATTGCTTTTTAGGGTAGATTCACTGAAGATTAAACTGGGGCACTCGTTTATAATTCTTTTTAACTGGATATACCGCACAAGGCATATTGCTTGTTTCACTCAGCACCATATTCAATACACCGTGAATAGCTGTTCAGTCGGGCGGTCACTCCACCATCGACCAGATTACGACGGCGGGGGATGCCAAGCTCAAAGGTCGCGTGGGCATCGGCGAATAAGGACACAGGATGACAGACCAACCAATGGAACCGCCCTACCGAACGACTAATCGCGGCCAAAGGTCATTTCCCGCTAGCAGCACGTATATTAACACACACGTAACACTTCTCAAAGCACAACCACTAACCCACCGCTATGTACCACTACGCTCCCCAATAACGCGTTGATAATGTCACCTCGATTGGTGACGAAACGTTTGCAATCGAATTGCCCAGCTTGCGAACAAGCCAACTACCATAAACCCTCGACTGTTTAAGAAATAAGCAAACACATTTTCGCCCTTGAGGACCATCGGGTTACTGAAGAACTCCCACCAGCTCTGTTAAAGGTGGAGGTAGTCTTCGCGGTCAGTGCTTATCTAGCCCCAATGTAGAAAAAAGAGAATATCCTGGCCAACTCAAAATCAGTCGATGACAGTGCTCATTTTTGAAAAAGATTCTAGCAGTGCCTATTGCGATCACAGAGGAATTTGCATAAATTCCGTTGTAACCATATTCTTTGCGTCACTTATTCTGTGACATCTTACTAAGGCTCGTGAAGCCAGGACCCAAGATAATCGAGTTGACCTAGAATATTCGTATCACATTGTTTTCATTTTTGAACGGAAGCGCAGACATAACTAGAAAAGCTAACTCGGGTCATCCAGTCCTTCGACCCGTTCTTCGCACTCAGTGCAGAGTCATGCTGAGGCACATACAGTCTTTGAAAATGCTTCTGAAAATTTGAGGAATAGCACTAGGAGTAATGGAATGCCCGTACCATTCTTCCTATTATTTTGGAGAATTTCTCGAATAAATTGACTTGGTTTTATGGCAGTGGAGCTCCATTTTTCTTGTCTGGTGTTTTTGTCACTGATTATCATGATGACAGCTGTCTTCATGCTCTAGCAACAGTGCCTTTTTCGGATGAAATCCCATAGCTATTGCTAATTGCTTGGCCAACAACTGGCAAAAGTTCCGAAGTTCTAGCCTGTTATTAGCAATCTGCTAAGGCTGATCAATTGCCGAGGTGTTGTTTCTGAGATTCATGTCTGTAAATGCTATCAGCTCAAAGTGACATCAATGCAATAAGCATAGCATTACGCAGCTGGTAGCTGACAAGTGGGTCCTGGATTGTTCGCTACCAGAAACGAAGTTCAGGATTTCTACTGAAGATGAAAAAAACTGTACTCTTGCGGACGGTAGCTTTTGGATAGATTGCTCCATGTTATCTGTTTCACTCATTGTTCATTTCATTCCTCCTGGAAGTGCATGAGCAAACCGACATGTGGAATGGGGATAAACGATTAACGCCTGAATAAATGCCACTCGTTTCAGACAGACAATGTGCTGTTTGCTTTGCTCGTTGCTGTGAACTCGTCCAACTTTGATTTCAATGCATGCAACTTTACTCTGAGAAACATGTACCAGAGAGACCGACGTGGGACGTCGACCAAAGAAGGAAGCGGCCGCGTTGCTACCTGGAAACACTTGGGCTTGGTGCACTCTTACACGCTGGAGTGTAATTACAATACAGGTAATTCGAATCAGCATGAAATGGTCGATTATATAAACCAACTTTCCTCACCTAACCTTTTTTTAACTTTGAACTGTTTGAAATTCCCGTTTTCGATTACGGCTGCGGTGTTCCCTGTGCTGAAACTCCAAGTAATACAACTCGGCTAACGTAGCTGCATTATTTCATCATTTTTCAAATAATCTAGCCTCTACTGGTGGAGTGGAGCCTAATCGAATGATCATTCAGGTTTGCTTGGAATTCGTTCGTTTATTTGCTTGTCATTTGTTTTGTATGTGGTGTGTCCTGCCCAGCACAGCTGGTGGGGCTGCGCTAGACAGAAGTTTCGGAAAGTTTCGTTGGGTGAACGAGCGAGTGGTTGTGACGACTTGAGCCGTGGTTTTTTTTGTTTCAATGGGAGGTTGTTTGTTACCAGTTGTGATAGAATGGTATCCCGTAGATCTAAAATGTGCGAATGTGTAGCGAATAATGGATTTAGGAGTATCGTCAACATATAGCACTAAAATACTGGTCGGAATGAGCAATTGTAAGAGCAGTTTCTCTGACCCAAAGAACTCAATTAATTCATGTTTGCTACTTGGTGTCTTCGAGTTTATCAGAACCTAGCTTGATGCAGAGCGTCCGCAATAGGGTAATACGTAATTGAGTGCCCGGTGATGCACCAGAAGCGATAGAGCGGCACACAAAGCCCAGTGAGTTGAAGTGACATGAATTAAGCAAGCCAAACTGAGTGATCTAGTATCTTTGGGACCCCCTGTTTGGAGTACGTATGATTCTTTTGGGAAGTAACCGGTGTCCATGGTGAGCAGGCTGTCACTTGCTATCGAGGAGCGTCGGCATGTCAGGTGGCATAGATCGTCTTTGGCTTGTTCGCTGAGTTGGGCAATTTGACTGCAACCGCTTCAGCACCAATCGAGGTGACGTTATCAGTGCCTTATAAGAGGGCATGGTGGAGTTTAGCGATGGCATAACCACCGACCCATCGCCCTCAAGCAGTACACTAGTGATGTAACCCCGATTGGCTACGAAACGTTTGCAATTATACTGTCCAGCACAGCAGGCAAACGAACGACCATCAACGCTGTCACCTGCTAGCCAGTTAGCCTGGCTACAATTTGTCTGCCGTTGTGTTAGTGGTTCATATTTGGTCAGTTCCATTCATGGAGTCTTACTTCGATATTGTTATCGGATGTAGTATAGGGACTATAAGACCCAACTCTTATGAATTTCCCCATTCTTTCCTAGAACATATTTCCTCTTGGTCATACGGCAAGTAAGCTAAAGTGAAGTTAATCACTTATTTATGGTGCGTTACTGTCGATGACAATGATGCCGGTCGTTGCGGACAAACAACCACGCCAGTGATTATCCCAAAAATAATTTTATGAGGTTTGTCAGTTGAGTGCTGTCAAAATGGTTTCCCAAACGAGCAGAGGTTAGTTGGTGCAATTGCACCTTGCCGGAATTCTCAGCACACGCTATAGAGGCTTGTGAACTAAGAGTTGTGGAATGCCTCTCCTCCAAAAGATAAACTCAGATGCTAGTGACCGCCAGAAAGTCCAAGATTGCACGTGGTGTTCTTTTACTTCCCACCCTGATACTACTCAACAGTAGTCATTTTTCTACCTTTATCCATAATGTTAGTAGAAACGATTTGTTCGTAGAAATGATGTAACCGTCTTGAGCTTTTCAAGTCTTGGACAGAAAACGTGTTTTCTGTTCGTTGATGAATTACTGTACTCTCCAAAGCCCAGTGAGAAAAATAATTCCTGCGCAGGAATTTCTCTTCCCCTAGTGTTGTAAAATGACGCTGATTTCGGAGAAATAGTACTGGATGCTAAGGGGTTCGGTGCTCCAAATTAACCTGCATGTCATTCTTTTTGAAGCATTTTGAAGAACAACATTTGGTCTTTCAGGTATGCACCATTTATCCGTCCTCATCCATTATCACTGCCTATCATGAACTAGTCCTGGGATCTGAGTTGGAAACGGCACTTGAGAAGAAACTTATGGGGGAAAGAAAAAATAACGACTTCTCGTGGAAATGTAATGGCAAAATATTGTTTAATCTGGAGTTTCTTGCGAATAACCAGTCCTAATATTCCGTTCAACAACTAAGAGTAATTCCTCTCTACATTTAACTGAAGCAGTACAGAGTCTACTGAGCAATGTATAAACAACAGCCGGTATGATCTTGTTAAGCTCTACACTATGGTTAAATCCGTGCTGTTTATTCCGTATACCACCTCACCAGGTCCTCTTGTTAACCGCCTGTGGCGATGTCTGTCCAAAGCTCCTCCCGATGATGGAGGTCGTCTTACCCCACCTGGCACGTTTTTCGGCCCCTATTGGACCGATATTGTCGATTCAGTTGGTATCCAAACCCTATGTTCACCAGCCCTGTTCACTACCGGAATGAATTCAAATACAGACGCGCCAATCAACATTACGCAAGCGAGATTTACGCCTGCCCACTATGAGGAAGTTGGCCGCGCCCTCTTGTTTGCTCTGTTGGATATGAATCAAACAAATCCGTGGCCTCGATTGGCTACACTGGGTGGCGTGAATGCTGTTCCAGGGGTCGGAGGTGTTCCAATACTAGCTGGCTTTTCAGAATTCAGTAGCATGAAGGTAAGAAACTTTACTAGACGGACTTAGGTGTTTCTTATCAATAGGATCATTAAGGAACTCAAACACGGTCCACTTCCAGTAACTTATTATCCCTCTCATTGTTTCCCTAACGCAAGGCTTCCAGATTAACATAACTTGGCACATCCATCATAGTAAGAGTTTCAACCACCTTGGGTGGCCTAGGTTAGAGGACAAATAAGTGAGATGGGAACTTTACCAAAGTGATCAAAGTGGTCAGTGCTTACACTATCTAGCCTCAGTCTGGCATAACCGAGCTACCTACCGTCTGTCTTGTCTAGTCCATTCTTTTTTGATAAAGCAATATGAAATGGATACAAGATAATCTAACTGCATGAAATCAGTTGGGGCATGAATATTCCAGCGGCGATCTGCAGACCTGATAGGGTACACTGGAATGTTGACATCGAAGTTTCGTCTCAGGATGCGAAAGCCAGTAAAGTTGATCCGATTGCCACAGATTCCTGTTCAGCAACAGAATTTCGGCTTTTTACAAGTTTTAAAGTTTGGTCTTTTTCACGATTGCCTGTGAACCGATGTCTGTTGTTCTTCTGTTCGGATGAGCCAGACGGCTTGCAAGTTTCTGACTCAGGGAGTGACTACCCGAATGACCATCCCAATTCAAACTCGCATCGACCATCATGACTGGGTTAGACGGCACATTAGTTCGAACATTTTTGCTGTGAGAACTTCCTACTGAGCACCGCATCTGTTCTTCCAAGGGGATTCTAATATATGTGCATAGCGTAGGCTTTGTGAATGTTTACCGTAGAACAAAATGTGAGTTGAACTGGTTGCCTGGCCACTTAAATTGTGGTAATTCCTCCGTCTATTCATCGGCACTTATCGTTTACCTTTCCCGATTCAAAACGTTTGCTTTTCACTGCTTTTCCCAATGTAAACCTACAGTGCAGATAACCCCGCAGTGTTTGTACAATCCTCATGGATGACAAAATCCTCAATCTGCAAACAGCACCTTTTTAGCGCGTCCTTGTTCCATAAATTGGGCCGATTTGGTTTTTCTTCAGAGCTATAGCCTGCACAGCTTGTGTCAGTGAATTCTCAAAGAGGTAATTAGAAAACGGGTGTTCCTTTGTGCAGAATGTGTTCAGCACCAGAAGCTTCATTAATTAGGTCATGTATTGTGTATGATGAACCATCGTTTGGTAAAGGCGGTAATGTTTTCGTGCACAAGCAGAGGAGTGGTTAACTTCTGACCTGAAAGAGAGAGGTGTGAGAGAGATTACGAAGACTGGGTACTGTCGCTGGCCTTCACCTTCCGGATGGAGTGACTTGATCTCCACTGCACATGTTTAGAGGCGCTGCAAGATTTGGCTGCTAACCGATGTCAGTGGCGTTCTTGTTGTCAACTTCCATCCAGACTACTCGAATGAGTGCCCGCAATGTTCGTGGTAGTTTAGCACTAAATCATTTTCCTATCCACTTTACTTCTGTGCTTCACAATAGGCTTCCAAATAAAATATGGCCGTACGGCAACGGGATATCAGTATAAGTCTCCCAATACGTGTCGTACAAAGTTGACGGAATAGATACGGACCAGATACTTTTAGGTGTGTGCTATCGGTGAGTGATCTCAAACTGTCAATTAGAACGATCCTCGGCCTCAGCGTTATGCTACTCAGTGTCTCCTTGATAAGCTATGCTGGACACGCATTGCTTCCCGTTGGTAGTTTATTGTTAGGTTACCTCAATCTTAATAGAAGCTTTGTTACTACAATTCTGCCTGGGTTTATTATCAAGCGTGCAAACGACTGCTCTCTTTTCATTTAATATGTGAACTGAGTTGAACTTAAAGTAAGTTTTGTGTGATTGGTAGTGGTCCGTAGTGTTCCAGTTCCGAAATAACACTGTGTCCACAAAAAGCGACTGTCCTGTAAAGTTTATCATGTTCTTCCTTGAAGTACTAGTAATATTGGGCTTAAAGGTAGGATAAAGTATAATTTACAAAACGGGTTTTATGACTGTAGGCATATTACCAACGTGCATCAAAAATACTTTGGGAGAAAGTCAAGTGTTTCATGCTTATGGTTCACATTTTTTCTAGAATCGATTCAATCCAACAGAGGGATGCTCGGCATCCTTTTAGCAATTTCGTCTCTCAAACGTGAGTATAGTGGATGTTTAACGCGTTTTAGGAGCTCCGCTGATTTGGTCTGCCGGCGGCACTTAAGGTTATTTGGTGTATTGTATTCTTTTCCTCCGCAAGCTGTCAGCGAGCGGAGCGTTTCACCAAGAGCTGAAGCATCATCAACGTCATAGGCATTATCGTCACCACCGGTACCAACGATAATTAGTCGTATGGGTCCACCAACAAAAGTTCACTGTGTTCCTTAGTGATGGCTTCGGTATCTTTTGATGGTGTTTACCTAAGTAGTACTTGGGATAGCGAGTATCCTTCAGGAACGGCCATAGTCGGTTCCCGTGTTTCCATCCTCAGTAGAATCGACACCAGAAAGGTTGCCCTAGTTTACATTTGAAGTAACGAGGAAATTGTGAAGCATGGTTTCCATTTGATTGTAAAAAGCTTGAAGCCGGACGAGAGGTGATCATTACAAACATTTGTTTTACGGAACTGCTCTGGATTTTCCATTTTGTTAATTATGGGGTTGGCACGCAGGTACGCCTAAGTGACACATCGCCTTTTTCAGTGTTTTTGGGGCCTCGACGGGCGGCTTAGGTCGATTTATATACCACTTGCTGCTGCATACTCTGCCGCACGTAGACAGATTTAATAACACTCAGTTCATGTGTTTCGGCCATCTCGGTCCCATAGCTAGGGTTTACACAACAGACAACTTTCCTTCCATGTAAAGCACCGTCCAAACAGAGCCCATGTTACAACGCATCACATTTGGCCTTCCGCGCTGACAACGTTTTGACAAAACAGTGGCCAGGTTCATGAATGAATCATTCGTCTGCGCAGTTCTCTCGATGCATAGCTGCCGTGCATCTCGGAGGAAGTATGAGGCTGAGATACAGCCAGTTTGGTAGCACATTGACGGAGTAAAAGAAAAGCTAGAGTTGGATTTGGACCACGGACGTTTACGTCAGTAGTTTCGTGCTTTAACTGCCGAACCATCTGGAGATTGCGTGATTTGACTGCCATGATACTCGCTCAAGATTTTCTTTACTTTACATCCCTCTTCCATGTATTTTTCGAGGTAAGCTTCATTTTGCAAATCCGTATACAAATGATAGGGAGGCTGACATAGGTTATTCGAAAATGCTCGGTGATTCGCTAGGACAGTGATGCTGGTAGAAAAATTTGTGAGAGCATCATTTGCTTTTCACTCACAAATCATGAAAGCGCAGACTATATGGTAACTGATCGAGAGTCCTCACAGTGGAGGTTATCCGGAGCAGGCTGTAACATGATCGAAGGTTGACCCATATGTCGAACTTTTCACCTTTCGAGGTGACTAAAATTGCACGAGCCATCAATGGCAAACAATTTGTCCTAGTTCTGGATCCCTCCATCAATAGGCGAATAGGTTTGAAGTTTTTTCCACACTATTCGAGCGACGATTCTGTGTACTGTCATGTTCACCTAATTCAGAATGCACTCTGAACGCACACGTGTACCTAAATGATGGCTATCTTGTTCGATATGGAAGTACTAAGGCAACCAAACGATGATGGTGCATGATAATGTCGTGCTTGTCAGAACAACTCACATGCTTGTGAAATCGATACTAGGATACAAGACCTTAATGTGGCCGTCTTGAGTACGTGGAAATCATTCCGTCTCAGATAAGACCCTAGAACTTCGGTGGACTGATAACACACGAGTGAGTTCGTATACACACCTACTAGGAAAAGCACATTGGATAAGTTTTTTTTAATTTGACAATAATTTAATCGACTATGTGAACCATGCAAATAAAACCATTCAGTATCTTTCCATCTTACGCATTAGGTAAACGAATGAATTAATACGGAACGTCGACTTTGTTAACAAAAGGCCACGGTTTTGTATTCTTCAAGTAGCACATGACTGTGTGGATCCTGCAGTTTGGAGTATCTGCGGAAATTAGATAAAAGTTTGTTCTGACACTTATTTGCTACCTAATGTGTCACACGGCGCATTAAGATGGTTCTCTATGTATTACCCTCTTTTGTAACTAAAATAGTGACTTATGATAGGCGAAACCTCGAGTTTCAAGTGTTTAATGTGTATGTGTGTACAGTTTTGCGTCAACGAAACCGTTTACAGAAGTCCATCTTCGTATAAGTGTGCAAATTTCATTGGTTCTAACGGACGATAAATTCAAGCACTTCAGCATGTATACGAGAATTGGCTGTGATTATAGTGCGAATTTACTGACCGGAAGGTTCGTGGTTCGAACCCGACCTCTGTCTCTCGACTTCCCCTGTCTACGCTTGGGCAACATGATAGAATCCTAGTCTTGGTGCTTTCTTCGGGTGGCATAGAATCTAAGCACCGAAAACATGTTTCACCTGAACAGTCAGCTTTTTTACGTGTACGAGTCTGTAAATTCGGCATCTCATTTCTGATGCTTACGTCCTGAAAACTTGGACTGATCTCCCGATTGCATACCATGCTCAGGTTTTGGCAATCTGACGAATAATTCTGTCCCCTTAGGGCCCTCAAATTTTATGTTTATATTTCTAGCTTATGGGGATTCAAGAACTATTTGCCAATCTGCCCACACAGACATCTGGTCTTTTTAGAAGACATTTCCGTTTGTGCTCGTCTTAATCTCGGTTAAATTCTTCCATGACAATCGCCATACTTTATGGTCATAAGGGCAAACAGTTTCGTTTCATAAGTTTGTTGTGAAATGAGCGGCACTTTCACCCTGATCCAATGAATTCTGGCGCTCAGTATTTCAAACTCATCTCGAAAATATCGTGTTAAAGTTTTTTTAAGGTTCGGCCTATTGTAATCTATTCCATTTAAAGGTGCTTCGTGAATTCTTCCAGTTGTTTGTGGAAAATCTTTTGGAACAGAAAAGCGCGTGATACCGGATTATTTGTCAAAATGCCGGGACATCACATTCAACTTTTGCTGTATCGAGAAGTTTCCAAGGAAACGGGGAGAAATCAAAGCTTGTACGACATACATTAGTTTATCGACGCACTCTCTCGACTTACATGCATCAACGTACGCGCGAGACCACAACGGGGAATAATATGTCCGGTGCATTCTGGGCCACAAAATCTAACGCTAGTGTAGAATAAGGGAACATGAAACTGGGAGGTCGGGCCAGGGTCTCAAAAATAGAAACCGAATGGCCCACATATAATACTAATAACTCAAAATAGTGCATCTTTCCACATTAACGATATATATAACCGGATGGATTTCGAGTCGCACCATCAAAATCATTTTCCGTTGAATTAGGACTGATGCCAAGATTTCCTATCAGACAAGTTAAGACCTCTGTAACCACTTCACTGCTCTAGTTCAGGAGTTGAAATTGAACTTCGATGCCAACTTACAAAAGACCAAAACTGTCGCTACCTTGAAATAAGCTGTCTTATTTTAAAGTCTACGGGTTCTACCCACATAAAAATGAGTGAGTCTGATGATAGTAAGAGTTGACTGACAGAAAACACGTGGTAACATCGCGATAAAATATTGTTGGCTTGGACCCTTTATTGGTAGCCGATTTGTCCACCGAACAAGACGCACCCGCGAGTTTTATTGACCAGCTTAGTCAAAGAGAAAAGTGGATGATCACACCTCGCTGTGGATATCCTGGGAAATTCTTCTTAAAAGTAAATGGAAGGTTATCCCAGAGGAAATTCAGACCAAGCAATTGAACAACCAAGAGATTTTTGCTCATTTTTACCTTACCAATACATTTTGTATTATTTTCTGATAAGCAGGTGTGTTATTTATCATTCCAAGGTATTCTGCAATGTCTGTCAGGTATTATAACTTTGAATTAAGGATTACATATTTTATTTCTTTTGGTGACTTGTTAGGCCCTGCGTGACTGGGTCCGAAAGTATGTGCGTGGTCTGACCATGTCTGGTGCTGGAGGTTTTGGGCCTCAATATCCTAAAGCAAGCATTCCCAGACCATGTCAACAAATTTCAACGCAGGAAAGCCCTGGTCGGGGAGAGAACTCAACAAGAGTTGCTCGAATTAACCGACAATGTCAAATGAAATCATCTGCTATTGAACTGGCGTCCGAGCACACAGGAGATGACCTGGCTCAAGGTGAACCAGTTCTTCCGAGTCAAACTCGTACGGGTTTCGCTCCTGCACACTCTCGTCTAAACCCCATTCAGTTACCCCGAAACAATCAAATCCAGCCGAAGTTAAACTCTTGTCCAGGAGTTACTTCATCGGAACATGTCAATCCACTACCTGAGCAAAAACATCGTATCAGCTCAAAGCTTTTGGATACGGAAACTAGTCTTGAGAATAGTTTCATGGAGTCCGTTTCGTTCGAGGATCAAGAGAAGCCCAAAAGTTCTAGGCAGATAAACAACGCTGGCTTGCAAAAACTCCCAAAGACGGGTGGTCACAACAAGGTAATCTTAAAAAGGACCACTAGCATTCGGGAGAATGCTGGGATTCACTGTCAGAATGGCACAAAAATTACCCAAAGGTGAGGATAGTTTCATAGCGAACAACGGGTTCTGCAAACTTGCGTTTGGCAACAAGAATAGCACAGCGTGACTTACCGCATTGATTATCATTGGAAATCTACTGATTATCGCCAGTTGTCTGTGTGTTTCGCCATAGAGTTTAGCCCCCTTTAAAGTATAATTTTTAGTAAAATATTATATGGCATTAAACTAGGCGAAATCGGCATGAATTCTATCTCATATCTTTCGATAAATGTCTTATCAGGGCAAGCATTTGTGGTCGAATTTTCCATTTGATTGCTTTTGTCCATTTTTGGTCTACCTAAGCAGTAAATTCAGAACTACTTCACTTGCGCAAAGCTTAAGCAAGAAACTGTTTGTCTCAGTGAAATCAACTGGGTTTTATACTCCTCCATTACAGTTTTGTCGCCTGTCTGACAATTCCGCTGTATCCACCTTATTCCATTTAGAAACACAGGTGAGAAGAACAAATAAGCCCTGTAGATTGGTGAGAATGAATTCCTATGCAAATCGTCAAACGGCCCAGTTGTATGTTCCACTGGGTCGATTCGAAACTTGACTTTGGTAGGTCGAGCTTACGTGAAAACTGAAACATCGGATCTATCCCTGAGCGATACGAGGTTGCCACTTCCATTTCACGCTGACTTTAGCAACCAACATAAACCGTGGATAGGACCGTTGTCCACTCCAAAGCTTCCGATCGATGCTATTTTATATCAGGATATAGAAAAATCACTGTTTCGTCTACGGTGATGTGTGCATCTGGGAAGTCAGTGGTATCAGGTATCAACACAGTTGGACTAGCGTCAACAAAGTGAATTCAGTAATTTAGTAATTCTCCATGAATAACCACCAAAAGCCCCAATGACTATTCATTTCATTACATAATGGTCATACAACAGGTGTTACCAAATGTCGTAAGAGTTTCCTTAAAAAGGTTTCAAGAGATATATGTTGACTGGGCAAACGAACATCCAAATTTCGCTCATCATTCCCTTCTGAAAACGAACTTTGGTCGCTAATTGTCTATCCTAATCCACTGTATCTAATATTAAATGTTCATCCAATTCTCTGTTTATCGTTCCGTGTTACTATGACAACTGAATTGTTGATGAGAATCTTCTGTTCGTTGAGTTTTCGTTGTTCGTGACTGTCTAGGCAGCCTTCTAGTGTATGTATGTATCAGGAGCTCAAAACAGATGTTCCTTTGTCCTCTTGCTTACTTTTGTCCACTGAGAACATACAATAATCCAAATAGAGGGGTGAAAATCCCACTAGGCCTTGAAGGATAATTTGGTCATCCAGTCGTTATCCAGTGTGATATCGCCATGTGCGACATGAATCGCCAAGCAAATGAACAAAAAATCATATAGGAAACTACTCACAAGGTTGCTGAAAACTCTTCGACAGCCCACAACCGGTTTGGCCCTTTTTGGGGCTCATCAGGTAGGCGCAGTCCCCGAGTTTCCGTCAACCTGTTTTCGACTGTTTTCGAGAAATACACTCATTTGCGAATCAATTTGGTTTTCACGAGAGACTCAACTGAATCTCTCGTTTATGATATTCTAAATCAGAGAAGATACAGTTACTTCTCCAATATTACTGTCAGGAACCAATCGTACGAGACCTGAGAAAGAGTACAATTTATTTACCTGGCAACCAAGACAGGTTTATAAGCCAAAAATGGGCCATACAGGCGGAGGCAAACTAGAGTTATTGTGTCCGTCGCGGAATTCGGTATTCAGCTTATGTTAATATGGCACTTGCGAGGTAGACCAATGAGAAAACATCCAGTGGCCTGTTGCCAATGTTTAAACGGCCCAAACATGATGGAACACCACTGGGTGCCAGGGTAACAAGACAAGCCGTGATTTTGCAAAACGATAAGAGCCAGTACATACCGCAGATGATGAAACAAGAAGTTTCGTACTGCTATAAACCGTAAAGGTTTTAGGGATCACTCCTCCAATTCACAATATCTATCAAGCAGGTAAACAAATTAGGCTTTATTAGCTTTTTCTTCCGCTGTATGCGTTAAAATATATTAAACTGAAAAATGAGCCGTTTCAACTATCCTTTTTTTCTTTGGTATCATTTTTATAGCCTCTCCCACTCTGCTCTTATAATGACAAGACAAGTTTGTCTTTTTTTCTATGCTGCCTACCTAGAACCAGTCGCCAATCGGATAACTCCATTGTGTCCCGCCCCGGTTTGTCTAAAGAAATTTGTATCAAAACTTCATTGTTGAGGACGCGGGATACACCCCGGAGAAAAGATGGAAGGCGGAGTACATGGCAGAACAAATCTCCCAATAAAACTTCATTTGTAGTTAGTTGTGATGTTGGTAACAGCGCACTGGATACCAGTGTTGGCAAGTGTCCTTTGGAGACTGATCTTTCCAACATGCCTACAAGTCCTGTTGACGGAGTAGAAATCAAGAAATCCCAGTTGAATGCCACCAGCATACAGCAAAGCGAAGCTGACCAGTCTGCTGTGGAAGAATTTGTGTTGGCACCGAGGCTCCTTGTCTTATCGGATGAGAAACGAAAAGCCACGGTATGTCATTACAAATAAAGCTGGTCGCACATTTTTCTACATTGTAAACATCCTTGCCTCAGTGCATTCCATCCTGTCTGAGTAGGTTTGCCATCAGAATTAGTGTTTGCTTAAACTACCAACTAATAATCTCGCAAGGGAACTGATTATTTTAAACTCGGCAAACCGAATGGATGTACAGAGGAATACTTCATTACAGAATAAACTGGGTAAAGACGGAAATTTATTGGTTCAGACTGCGGGATTTGCGGTTGAAATTTCCGCTGAGGTTGGCAACTCTGTTGTAGACTTTTCAGGACATCATCAATGCGTAGCGGTATGGCGGTGCATTGCGGCTTAGCAATGTTAAAAAAAAACGATTCACCTGGGTTCCAGGTGAGTCCCCCGTGAAACCAAATTTGCTCGCAAATGGATGTATTTCGTTAACGATTATTTCTGTCTACACAATCATGGGACCCAAATTTTGATGCAAAAATTTTAGAGAGACTGAATTTTCGGTATGAGGTGACCCAGAACGTATTTGCCATTTACAGTAAACGGTAAGCTAAAGAAGCCGGTGTGGACTGTAGAGTTATTCCCGGATTTTAAATAAGATGTGCTGTCTCACACACCACTGTATCCAAATCGGGGCGCGTACCGCCGGTCACATGAACTTTTCTGCCAGTTCTACCCAAACAGTAGTCAAATTCACATACCTGGAACGGTTTGAAAGACTGTACTCGGCCTACTGGAGTAACTTTTTGACCGTGATGATTCTTGCGTTCTCACTGATGAGGTCTGGATATGAACTGCATTGGATAGACTGGAGGTAGATATTTTTGCAATGCACTACTCGTAAGGTTGCTGAAAGTCCGTCGACAGCCCACGACCAGTTTCACCCTTTTTAGGGCTCATCAGGTAGACGCAGTCCCCGGGTTTCCGTCAAACTTTTGTTCTGCTTGAAACCAAATTGCACGAAATTGCGAACGTACACTCATCACAAACGAGAGATTCAACTGGATTCCAGGGGAATCTCTCGAAAAACTAAATTAGTTAGCAAATGGGGGAGATACATTGGAATCATCCGACTGACAGACGATTTGAAACAGATGCAGACAAGAAGACGCACGACAGCCCACTGGGTGTGTTAACGAGCTGAAAATCACTACCTCTGAACCAGTTCGCAAAGTCCAGCTCATTGGAGAGAAACACTTTCTTCGCGAACTGGACGAGGCCGTGCAGGTGCACCTCGTGTTTATCCGAGAATGGTTGTTTTTTCTGCGAACTACTTCTCCAAACTACTCAACTTCTGCTCTGTGTCCCACTCCGTATAATCTCTCACATAGTATTTCTACCAAGCCTGTTCTCCAAAGTGCCGATAAAAAATTAAATAAAAGAAGCTCTAACCAATCGGTCTTTCTCAGAGATCCCGATCAACCCAAGGGATGAACCATCATTTCAATGATTCAACTGCATATCCAGTAAGAATACTGAGCCATTTACATCAATAACTAAATGTTTGGATGAGAGGTGCGCAACGTTTGGAATAGATCCACTGTTTTTCACTTTGATTCGCTGGTACCTGAGCTACCACTAACATGTCTTCTGAAGGACTTGGCTGATCTGTGTAGAGCCGTTGGGATTTTTTTGCTTGTCATGACTATATCTATCAAGACGAGACCAAGTGGGTTTACCATAGTGACTCCCTCAGCCTGCTTATAATGCTGACTTTGAACAGTGTAACCATTATGGTGCGAAACAGCGGCATCTCATTTATGTTGCCAGTATTTCAATGTAGCTTTCGTTTGTGTGGACGAAATCACACAGGATGTCCTCTGTTTCTGATGGGAGTACATGTTTGATCAAAGACGTGATATATAAATTCACACGTTGCTAGTTTGGGGCGATGAAATATTCTGCAGGTGCTGACTTTCAGAATCCATCCACCAATGTGCAGAACATGAATTGCATTATGAAATGGTCAAGGTATTCTTACCAAACATTTGCTATCGAGGAAAATTTGTGGCCTTGGAAGCATTTTTATGCCGTTTTAGTCGACGCAGTAGTGGCAACTCGAAAGGAAAGAATTGTTGATAAGTCCACTTTTCAGTAGGACCTGTGTCTATTCACATGGGTGAGGCGAATGGATTGTCTCGGCGTTATCATTTTGAAACGACATATAAACCGTAGAGTATAACAAAATATTTAATATTTGGTATTTAGTAACACAATACATAATAAGGAGTTTTTAAACATAAATTCGAAGCACAGCGTGGTGGAATAGGTTGATTGATTGATTGATTGATGATTGACTGATTGATTGATTGTAGAAATCGTTGTGAAATGTCGTCCGCGGCAACCGAAACGTCGGATCATAACAACCTATTCCACTACGCTGTTTTTACCCTATAATTAAAAAACTCATTATACACCACATGGCGCTGAATACAATACATACACTACAATAGTAATGGTAAATATTCCTTCAGCTTTGTTGCATTTTTCATGCCTAGCTGCCATGCCACACGAAGGAAACACGAGGACTAAGACACTGTCAGGTTACTTAAGTCTGGAGAGTAGCAGTATAAATTAAGAGGTTTAGTTCGAAGCATGGACCTTCCGACTAGTAGTTTAGCGCCTTAACCACCAAGCAACCACGAGTTTACACACCTTATTTTGTCCACTACTTCAAAATATCCCTCGTTCTCTTAAAATAAACGAGTTTCTGCACCGCAAAAGCTCCCAAACCCTTGCTTGACTGCTGTCTGAAGGGCGTTTTGCTCGTTAACGCATGACCATGATCTAGTCCACCTTTATAAGACCTCTGTTTTGAACACCCACCTTCGAGTACATCTCACAGGATTTCAGATAAAATGGTTTGTGAAAAATTACTCAGACGATGGCTTGTTTCGAACGCTCACCTTTTTAAATACAGCACAATATTTAAAGCCAGGTAAGGCCAAAGTAACCTGAGCTGAACCGTGATGAGTTTTTTCACCTTTACCAGGATTTGTAAGTGTAAGCGGTTCAAACGGCTGCAGCATCAACTTTACGATGTTTTTTTTAATATACCAATGATTGAGTCAACTCATCCCATTTCGTACTAATTCAAATCCAGAGACGGTCATAAGGTTTATACAGGCTCAGTTCGTAGTTTATTTACGTAAAGCTGAGCGTTGTATCGTTGTGGTATTTGGGCTTTAAATCATGTATAATTTGCCAAACGTTACGACACGGAGGTTTGTCCACTCAGTCACTCTCAGAGTATGGAAATCAGAGCTGCGTAAGTGATCAGTAATGATCAGTTCCCCTCTTCCTTTGCAACGATTTACTTGCCCGTAACACCATCTTACCAAAAATTGCTATTTTGTTCATTCTATTCTGGGTTGATTTGTGGTAGATACTTTGTTTAACGTATAACAGTATATCGCTGCATCAGTCTTTCACGAGAACAGTTCGTTTATGGTTTAGAACGCCTCCGCTGGTTTACTTGTAGAAAGGCCATATGACCGAAAATTTTCAGCTTCATAATCTGTTGAGTTCGTCGATCAGTCTATGATACGTCACTTTCAAAGTGGACTAAGCTTCCCATTAGCTACAATTTATATGATCTATCCACTTCGATACAGTTGAAGAACTTTCACACGTTTGATGGTTAAGCTGTTGCTGGAATTCCGCACTAATCATCAGTACTCATCGGTACTAGGGTGCCCAAACTTCCGTGTTTTTATATGGTGGATCTCCCTGTAGCTGGAGTGAAGTGATCGTCCATGACCCATTTTTATAGGCGGATCATTCCAATAAACTGAGGACAATATTTTGAGTATATGGCAAAAATGGGAAGTGGATAGCGCTAGCCTAGGTTTAACATCGTTTTATCGATTGTGACATGCTGTGGAAATTAGTAGTGCAATGTCTTCAACTTAGAATGCAAAAGCAAGGGCTGCTTTGAAGTATTATCTGCCTATAAATGGTGTGCAATTAAACCATGCATTTAGTATCAGCTGTTCACACAAGCTGAAGGAAACGGCTAGATCAGCATGCTTCAAGCCCCTCCCTGAAAGATTTTATCGCATGATCACCCTTTCAAACGATCTTAAGGAGCTATAGTTATTCTTCAGCGTAGTCATTGTAGGGTGTAAGAATGCTATGGCTACTGAAGGCCAACCGGTTTTAGTAACCGGTCGCGTGTTGGCTGCAGATGCCCCGGTAGGCGCTGATTGGTCAGAATATCAGAATCAGGATCGAGGATTATAACTCGCGCTTCTCCCCACTCACGAGGATTTTAGCATGACCTTATGTAACATTCCGTGATCGTCTTATAAATGCGGTTGTAATAATCCTTTGTCTCCTTAATGGACTATCTAAACCTACCGTGCCTTTAGATATACTACAGTAGGTACATGAGGAAGCCAAGCACGGACATGAAGTTGCACCACAGCTTGCAGTACACAAAGATAAGTATGTCTAACAGAAAATATACCTACTGGAGGTAAAGAAGTGACTAACTAACATTGTATATATGTGTATAACACGTCTTATTCTAGCTTTTATTCCACGTCCCTAGCGCAAAATACAACCTACTTGTCTAATTTGTTTATCGATAACTTCGTTGTTGAGAATTTATTTGAACTACTTGTAACCGCTTGTTTCGTTTGAATTCTCAGAAAGCATTTCAACTTGAGAACCTTCAGTCTTCTGCTAAACACAGGATCCGCAGTAACGAAGACGGGTTCCGTTCATCTAAATCTCTCAGGATATTGAAAAAGATTTTCACCGCACCCAGTATAGAATCATCTGGAGATTTTGCCGATGGGTTGACTGCGAGGAGCCTGTTCTCATTGCCAGACCTTGTCTCAGATGCGGCGGAACTGCGGTCCCGTAAATCAAAACGACATGTCCGCGTCAAATCCGATGCGAACTCAATAAACAAACATTCAAACACTGCATTACATCCCAATGCACTAATCTGGCAAAGAAGGCCTAAAACTTGTCAGCTCATCAAAAAAGGTATCAGACATCTGCGTAACAAGGTCGACTCTAGCAATAACAACTCCCCTTACCCCGGAAGATGGAGTACCGTCCTCTGTACCGACGGTGCTCACCATGGCGCGAGGCACTCACGAACACCGGAATGCATTACATCTCTTAGCATTACGCAAAGTTTGGAAGAACTTTATTTGTCTGGTTTTCCATGTACTCATCGGTCTCTGCCACCTATATTTCCTGAGTCTACACACCGACTTCCCTGTTTGCGTAAACAAGGCAGCGAAACGGATCGGTCATTACCAAGAAACGCCTTTAATCTTGAGGACGAATTTCGAACTGCATCTCTCACGTCTTCCATGTTTTTCGCACGTCGGTCTAAAAATGGAAAGTATAGTTAATCTTTAATTTTTCCAGTGTGGTGTGCATTGTATACTTGGAAAATTGGCGTCTATGAGTTGTGGGTTATACTTACGAACCGAATATCTCAAAATGGAGAGTTTCTACCCCAACTCCTTGCAGCAGCCACTCCTATGCTAATGAATAGCATTTAGGGACTCTGTAAAATCAATAGGGAATCCATTAGCTGATGGGCAGCTTTTCGTGACCAGTACACGGATCATTGTTTGCATATTTTGATACGTTCTCCACTAATGTTGGATCTACTGATAATTCTGAGTGCTTCACTTGGCAGCCTTCACCCTTAATCGAGGAGTGAACTGAATACTCAAACCAACAGGAGGATGGTAGGTAAACTTGAACGTTTGTTCAACCAGTTCTGCTGTCGCATTCCAGTTTGGAATGTGACAATTAATCTCATCGTACGTACAACCGTTTGACTAAAGGCGCATGGGAACACCAGTGAAACAGGGGCACATCAAAAATCATTTGCAGTGGTTATGGAAGTGTGTAAAAGGTTGCGTTTAAATTACCCAGGACATAAGCTTTTGGTTGAGTCCTGGTGTCGGGTTAAATGCAAATGAAAAGCAGTCACTTTTTCACCTAAAATTCCAGCCAAACCTTGCACAGGCTCTACCGGTACGTTTTTATGTGTGTGAACGATGAATATTTCAACTCAAATTTCGCCGTTGACTCCAATTCACCTTGGTTGTTAACAAGCTAGTTGTAGCATGTCAATAAAACATTAGATTGTGAGAATGAAGTGAGTGTTGACAAACTGAAGATTTGCGTGACATCTAATTTCTTTTTTTTGCTGTAAAAGAATGCAGAAATGCAGCATGGCTTGGTAGCGCCCTTAAAGCGTTGGTGTTATGATAGGCACACGACGGTCTTCTACAGTATAGTTAAAATACTTTAACTGATCTACAGTGTGAAAAACCTTAGACCACTCATTAGCGGTTGAAATGTGCCCAGAACTGCTGCTCCTAGCTCGTGAAGACCACTGTTTCCGAAACGACCGATTACGTTGTCCATCCTTACGCGAGTAGGATATACGCTAGTTTGTTTTAAAAATGCCTGCACGCATAATGTATACCGTTCAATAAACGAAAAAGCTTCTCATCGTATTTCTCTAAACCGCAGTCATTTTAATAGCACACTCTAGCATCAAGTCGGGCTTGTCACGTGAGCGATGTAGTATAGCACGGTCCAGTGGAATGAACAGCTTTACTGGACATACATGTCAAAAGCACTCCGATTTGACACACAGAAGCTCGTGCTTGAATGTGAATTTCCCTGAACTGCAGTTTAATTCTGTTTGACTGATGAATCTACCTTTCACCTTCTCTGAGTAAGCTGCTAGCTTACACTTTTGAGGCCTAAAATCTAACCCATGCACTTCTTGCTAATAATTTGGGTGTACAGTAGTCTGGAGTTAGAAGTTCGATTCATGCATATAATTGGCATACCCTAGTTTAACCTGAGGACCCTAATTTAAAAGTGCGCACTGGTGTTTGAATTAGGCTGAAGTAGACCTTCGATGAAGGTGTCAAGCAGGGGCATTATAACGAAATGTTGGTAGCTCGAGTGCTCCAATTAATTGTAGATCAGGTGATTGTTGACCTGTCCTCCGAATGTGTTAATTTGTTTGCAAATGTTTCACGATCATTTTCAGGGATGGCATCGGTGCACGCTGATGATGTGAAGACGCCCAGAACGTGGCAAGTGCTATGATATCGGAATGAGATTCCCTGTACTCTCTATGCGCTAGACGTTCCACCGAAGTGTTTCAACTACTTATGCGCTTCAGAATAACCTAAGAATAATCAAAGTGATATCGATTCGTTTGCTGTCAATTTGAAGTAAACTAGTTGAAAGTAAATGAGCGCTTGACCGTTGAACCCTATGACCCGATCTTGCTCACATGTCATGTACGCCTTGCTATGTCTCCAAGCTTAATTATATATGTGTAGGCTGAACTATACAAATCCGCTTGCTTATATATTCAACCTATTTCTGCAAAATTAAGTGATGAGTCGAATTTTACAGTGTTCCGAGGTTCACCAGAGTACAACAGACTGGAGATGTTGTCTCCTTGTGTTCAGAAAACTTTTTTAAGTTAGAATGTCACGATTGTCCTGCTCCATAATTAGCCTCGAAGTTTCGTTGAATACTCCCAATATCGAATTTTAAAACCCCTACCGAAATGCATTTCACTTGATGAATCAGCTTGCAGTTCGAGTAAGATTTTGGTAGATTTGCAGTTTGCGACTAGTCCGCTAGAAAATCAACTACTGTGGGCTGGAATTTTGTCAACCACGCGGTCCTAAATGATCGTTGTTCTATTAATCTAACAGTTCTATTAGATGCATGATCTATTGACGTACGACTAAATGAAGACCGCTCCATCTTTATAGAAAGAATAGACTAATGGTTGCACTCAAAGGCAGCTAAGATGTGTTAGAACGGCTTTATGGTGTGCGTCATAGGTGCAACTGCCTGAATTAAAATTTCAAAATTTATGTTAAGAAAAAACACAGCTGAATTTCGCAAAGAAATCGCTGAGTCAAAGCACGCTAAATCTGTAACCACGATTTGTTGGAAATTATACTGCGCTTCAGCAAAAATACTAAAGAGAGCCACTAAGTAGCTTTTTATCCAAAATAAACCTGCCCAATGAAGAAAGTTGCAATAAGGAATTCAAGCCTATTTTAAAAAAACGCAAGGGTTTTGTTTTTAAGGCAGCGTCAGTTCGGCCATCTCTTGGACCCGCCATCATTAATTGTGCACTTTTTGTTAAATGGGAAAATATAATATATTAATGTAACAAGATACTAACAAATAACATATAACAATATCCCTGTAATCTCATGCACACCTAACGGGGTTTTTACTGGGTATTATATTTACGTGGTCTCCCTGCAACCTAGTGAAAACCTACCCAACTTGCTGTTTCAATAAATGGATATTTTCCTATTTTATGAGGTTAGTTTTACTTGGTATGGTGATGTGAGAAATGCCTTTTAGCGTGCCTATCAGATTGTGTCTATGATACTATACCGAAACTTTTAAGGAAGTAATTTTGAAATCCTTTAATACCCTTCCTTTGGACATTTTCTTCCTAGAAGAGGCAACCAGTTGACGTCCTGCAAACATTTTGTGCCTCTTATACAAAGCTTTGTCTACAAACGAATGTGTTTTAGAGAACTCCTTTGGCTTGCAATGTGAATTCTGAATGAAAAAGTTACCTTACAGCAGCGCATTTAATCACAACAATGAGACCTCCTCTGTACCTCTGTCCGACAGAAATCATATAAAAATCGCAAGAGGATATACGAGTATTCGTGAGGTGTATTGTTTAATTACAGTCACTGAGACTAATAAATGTTCATTTGACTTCAGCGTTCATGTGGCCCCACTGCCTGGCTTCTATGTCATAGCGTGATATTTTCCAAAGTGGTACTTTGCACGGACCTCAGATAGGACCGAATAAGAACGAACTGGTACTGCTCCAGAACCGATTAAGAGGATATCCAGTGGCGTTTACAGTTTGGCGTGCCCATCCTGGTCGGCTAGGAAATCCAGTCATATGATAATGAGAATTACTATTTTATGCTTTAGTTATGGTCCCTATTTTGTGGTCCCGCCATTATTTTCACCGGAAGGCGTCGATATGGCCCCTGTTCTGACTTTTGTATTTTTGTCTTCGTGTGGTGTTCCGTTCAAGAAAACACCCTTAGATTTCGTTGATAAGCAAATTCTTTGGTGCGTGCAACCAGAGGTCCCGTGATGCCTTGTGAACAAGCGCACATATCAGACTGTTTGCTTTCTACCTAACCGTGGTGATTGAGGTCTGATTTAGCTTTTAGGTACTGAGAAGCCTTCATCAAGATTGGATTCTGCAGGATCCTGCTAGGAATCAATAAAAATGTATATCTTATCAGCCTATGTTTGGGAAACAAGCAACAACGTGGCCAGCTTGCACCTGAAGGGTCAACGATGACCTTTTATTGTTGTCTATTTGTGTGGAGTATAACCGATTCACCGTCTGCGTGAGATATTTAATATACTTTCAGTCACTTGAACAGGTATAGACATGTTTTGAAACTTATATAATTATTATTGCCGGTTCATGGAAGTTTATAGTTGATGTGTCTGTGATGCGTAAAAAGACTTCATTCACAATGGATGTCCGAAAGACGGTACTCGTAAAGCTTGCCGTGTTCCCGCCGAGTGATTAGAATGCTCTGGTTTGGTTTATTTTTGTAGTGAGGCAAAACCTCAAATTTGAAACTCAGGTGATAAGTCACCGTAACAATTAGACGGCGATCCTACGGATTTGATGGAATTGTGTACGCCATAGAAAATATCAGTTTCATGGACTGCTTACCTAAGAAAAAGGAAGTGAGAAGGTGGTTGAATCTGACTATTAACCTGAATCCACATGCTGTGGGCGAAGTGGTGGACTCCGCTCCCGGGGTCTGTTCATTCCGTATTCTACTAAATAAGCACATTTTCCGCGTCCGTGTGAATCAGTGCAAACAGAGTTTTCGAACGATAATAAAGGTTGGCCAGTTGATTAAAGGAACCATTTAGCTGCAAAGTGAGTAACTGTTGGTTCATCAGTCCAGGGGTTCTGAATCAGAAATTCCCAGAGAGTTTTCGAAGCATTTTTAGTTCTTATCATTGCCCTTTATATGGGAGATAGCACCTCAAAGAAGTATAATTATTTTAGGGTCAGACAACGTCCCGCATCCGAATAAGCGTCACGCTTTTGGGAAAAGTATGCGCTCGGTATTCGCACAATGGAATCTAATTTTCGAAAGCTATAAAAAAGATGCCTTATTTACGTTAATCCGTTTGTCGCTTCCATTATTGGAGAGCTTGGCTACTTTTTGTTTATTGACAAGAAGCATTTTTGTAATCTCACCCGTTTGATACTGGAGTCAAGTTCAACCTCCTTCCACATTTTCATTCACACTGTTACCCTTAGAACCGTATT